ATGTGAAATCATCAAGTGCATGAGAGCTTTCTCTCTAACCCTTCATTCTGAGTCCTTCATGCTTGCTTTCTGTAAGTTGGCATTTCTGCAGACTTTACTTGAGGGAATTCCCCGCAGTTCATTGGATTGTGACGTGAAACATGGGATTATCCCACTGTACCCGGGAGACTGGAAGCATAAAAAGGTAAACAAATGCCATAAAATGGAGATAAGAAAAATAAAGAACATGAACAGTAAATGAACATTGTTATGTTAACAGATGTTCTTCTAATGATTTTGGATTTTGCTTTGAACCAAAGCATCTGCTAAATACTGCAACTTAAACATAAACATCCATAAATGTCATTCATCAACTATTTGTTTCTTTTTGCTTAATGATGCAGTTTTGACAAAACTATATTAAATTGAATAATGTTAGGGAATTGACAATTACTCCACGTCCACTCTATAAGGCAAAAGCGTGGATCACTTTCAAATCAGCCAGGTGGGCCCTGAAGTGTCTTGGCCATGAGGAAAGTGAAAAACATAAAATAAAAAGCCCTAAACCCACAATACGTATTAGAACCATGGCGTCATTTTGGCGTTGCCATAGTGATGTGATAACCTAAGTCACAAAGTGCCATTCCCATTCCAGCCCCTACAGCCTCTTGCACTCAGTCACTTACAGGTGATGTCGCTAAAGTCTTTGAGGGTTTGGGGTTTGAGACCTTAGGGACAACTTTGGGATTGGGCCAATATCTGTCCTCTTGGAATTGACACGGCAGCGAGGGCAGGAAAACGTAAAATTTTAAAGTGCACAAAGCAGCAGGTGTAACATTAATCAACTGCTGACTGAACAAGAGCAAGAGCCGCATAATAAGCTTCTTGTTGATGATGGGGTGTTCTGTAGTAAGTTAAACTACAATCAAGTAAATCTGTGTGTGCTTATGCAACTATCATCCATGCCATTTAATTTCTTTTTTGGACATCATCCTAGTTTTGGCAGAGAAAATGAAATGCATTTTCCTTTAGGATTCAACCCTGTGAAACTATTCCAATAACATATATTTATGGGAGAAAGGATGGTCACTGATACATTAGAAGGCCATGATGTTGACATGCACACTATTACCATGACCTGTCTGGTGTAAGAATAGTAAACCACAAACCAGCCCAGCTGCTGTGTCCCTCAGACACTTTTCACTGCATTTGACCTCCAAATGATGGCTGGTCACCTGCCAACATGGCAGCTGTCTGTGCCATTATTTTCCCACTGAGATTTTAACTTCAATGTCCAGTGAATTCTCATGGAAACCTGCGCCAAAACAAGCTAACACTCAACGCCTCGGAATGAGAGCTGGGAGCAGAGACTGCTTCCTGTCTGGCCCTGCCTCTCCCCCCTTCACTCCTTTATCCACTTCCTGTCTTTGTCAGCCTCCTCTGAGTCACAAACAAAACAACTTGTTTTGTCTGTGACTCAGGCAATAAAGACATACTGTACAGGAAACTTGCTTTTTATGCATTTCTGTCACAACAGCGTCACCAAACATGCATGTCCGTGGCTGTAATGCCTACAGTGACATCTGTAATATCATTTCTTCACATTTGGCACAAACATCCACTTGGACGAGAATGAACTGAGTAGATTTTGGTGGTCAAAATCTTGAGGGTATTTATTCTAATTTGGCACAAACATGGATTCAAGGACGATGTGACAAAGCTCTCTATCAGTCGTCTGTATTCCTCTGTAAAAAATAGTCTCTTAAGTGAACACAGCATGTTTGTCACTGGAAATTATTCACTAGAATCATATGTGACAGTACTGTTATAACTTTCATTTGGCCAAAAATACATCCTTTATTAAATTCCTTCAAAGTCTTCATATATTATCAGTCTGGACAGACATACATGTAAACAACTTGACTGGTTGGTGGAGGTATACAACAGTGAGGCAGTAATTGTAGTTTTAATGGACATGGGTTATTTTGGGGCCGGTCATTTTATGAGAAAATCTGTGCCTTCTCTAAATATATACATAAATCTAAATATTTCTTCCATCACTGGAAAATGGGAATAAATGTACAAGTACAGACCCTTGTAGAGTGTCCCAGTAAAGGTTGCAGCAGAGGGGTATGCTTTTTTAAAAAGCTTTTGTTACTATCTGCTTTTTAAGTGTGATGCAACTTCCATTTTCGGGTCCAAACTGCTCCAGACCCAAATGGAGGAGCCTGTCACCCTCTACACAATAACATCTTTGTTGTTTAGCGAGGCATCATTGGGAGTAAAAAAAAAAAAAACATTCTTAAGATTCAAATAAAGTAGTCAGTGTTGCCATTCCGCCTGGTGGCATAATAACCAAACTTTATTAATTTAAGAATACTGTGACTTATCTAATCAACTGTAGCCATTTCCTGTTCTCCTTCCCATTGCAAGGAAAGCAGTAAAATGACAGCTGACTTGTGAGTTTTGATTCACATTTATTGAAACTACAGAGAGCACAACACTGGCATATGGAGAAGAGGCGTATGAGCCAAATTCAGGACCCGGAAACAGGATGGCACGTCACCACTTAACAAGTGGATAGTTGAAGCTGTACTATATTATGCCCATTATATATAATGGTAAGCATTACAACATGGGCTGGCTTGAAAAACAGCAGAACTATCCTTTGATGTTTGTGCATTAAAAAGATGGATTCTTTCTTTTGACACGGGAGAAACACTTTTACTTAGAGGGAAAACTGCCTTGAAGGGAAAACTGCCTTGAAGGGAAAACTGGCTTGAAAGACAAACTGCTAATTATAGGGATGTTTTATTCCACACACCTGTTTATACTCTTCTGTGAGGGATGTGGGCCTTTTGGGCCAGTGTCCCTTTGTGCTGTGGCCTTGAGAAAGCTACTGATGTATTTTCACCATTTAAACACAAGCATGAGATAAGAACCAACTTCCTAAAAGCACACGCGTGTTGCTGAGTGCTTTGTGAGCCACCTCGCTTGTCCTGTCAACTGGGAGGGGCAGTAACCATAGCAGCCGGTCAAATCTGTTCTCCAATAAGCGAACCTCTTCCTGTTTTGAGGGATGACACAACTGTGTGCGATAGAGGCCGTGTGTGTAGTGTGCAATACTCCAGGAACTGTAACTGAACATAACACTGGCAAAAATGATCCTCAGACGGTTCCTCAGAGGTGACTCACATAGTATGGAAACTGTTGTTAGTGTGTAATTTTACAGAAGTCAGTGAAACGCCTAAACACCAGGGCAACTCATCCAGTAAACATCTATTAAGTCACTGCTAAACATTCTGAGACCTCACCGAACCATACACTGTCAAACAAAAATAAAACATCCCACTATCTTGCTACTAAGACCATTTTGCACTTTCTTTTGAAAGAGGGGAGGAGGAGGGTTTGTTTCTCTAGTGCTACCAAACATCTGCTCTGCTCTCTCCTGCATCAACAGGTCTGCCAGAGGACCACACTGTTCAGACACCAGCCTTCACTGATGCTGTGAGGCTTCACAGACAAGCCAAGGGACACTATGGAACATGGGATATGATGTGCGGAGCACCCCCACAGGTCAGGCTCTCAGTTTAATCAGCAGTGTCCCAGGTCAGAGGCTGGGGCCTTTAATGTCAGCATTTACTGTATATAAACTGAAAATGGATCCACAAGGTCTTTCTCTTTTTGTAAAAGGGACATGTACTGTAAATCTGAGTATCATGAAACTTTTCCTTGCTATCCACTGGCACAGTTTCTATACATTAGTGATCGTTTTATGCCAAATTCCAGATGATACACTTGGTAATGTTTGATATTAGGAGTGGGAATCACAAGTCAGCTCATGATACCGTCATGATATTTTGTCCACGATATTATCACAACTCTAGCAATTCTGTGATCTACAATGTCTTGTGAGATATATCACAATATCTGCAATTCTTTTCTCAAAAACTGTCAGATGTACATTATTTATTAACAGTACACCAGTTTTATAGAATAGAAATGATGTAAAACAAGTGCCCAAGTGCATACACAGCTGTCAAACAGACAAACCTGAAAGAGGCATATTTGTCAGAGAGAAGAGTTTGTGACAGAATATGTAGTGAAGGATCACATGTGATTCATCAGTCACAGCAACAACTCAAAACAACACGGTCCCTTCTGAGAACTTAGGTCCACTTACTGGACTTGTTTTCTGTAAACAGGTACTCACCCCTATTTGATATTATGAGCTGCTGAGGAGCACCTAAATGCACTTTTAGTTTTAGACTACCTCATTTTGGGACGTTCACTATAAGCTACATTGTTCAGATCTTATGTTTCCCCATCAGGAGGTAGGCTTACACATGTTTGCCGTAGGTGACCGCTAAAAGAGATTTTCAGGAACAATTTCCAAGCAGTCATTGTGAAAACCTGTCCAGAGATCAGGTCAGGGCCATACAGTAGCTTAACCTCCAGAAAGGCCACTGTGATTTCTCTCACTTAATGCAGCTCAAGAAAACACTCCACCTACACCATGAATACACTCATTCTCTTCACACTACAAACAAGCACCTGCACAAGAGCTTCAGTAAGACAGTCAGCAACATGCTGAAGAACACACACACACACACATGCACACACCTAAATTCTCACACTGCTGACTGGGGTCTCCCCTCTAAATAAGCTCTTTTCACTCACCTCCAGGGCATCACAGTCTCTGTGTGTCTCTGGCAGTCACTGTCTTCATGAATCTGTTTCCTCTCTGGGTCCCAGTTTCTTCAACATTCCAGCATTTACTCAGGGAGTCTGCTGACATGTCAAAGCTACAGTGAGCAACAGTTTTGTATTAACAGTGGATCAGATTAAAACGTGATAAGTGTAGGCACAGGATCTGGTTTCCAGCTTGTTGTGAAGTTCTTCTGCTCCTAAAAAAGCCATGGCAATTAATTACAGTGACACAAACTGCTGCGTTACATTGCTAAAGAAAGGTTACAATATTATCCTTTGCGTAAAGACCAGAGTTTGCACTAAGCAAACTACAGCACACAACATTTATGACTACTATGTTGCAAGTCAAAATGTCTGATGTGACAAAGGCTTATTTATGTTTGAACACCAAAACACAAACATAATCCCTTCCCAAGCCTACCACTGTATTCTTCAGACTCTCTGTTTTGCTAATTGAATCTCCTATAACTGATCATGATAGCCTGTAGGCCTACTGTTTTCACTACAGTTACAAGTAATACATTTATCTGATGCTGTCTTTCCCATAAGGAATAATGAAGAGTTAGGTCCTGTATGTCCTAATCTTATCCTAGAAAAAATGACTTCTTCCCTTCTGTAATTATTTCTGTTTGTCAGTCTGACATAGTCTTTCCCTTTACTATCCTTATCTCATATTTCCTGCCATTATTCTGTGAAGGATATAGTTTGTTAGTTAAGGTGTGTTAAATATACTGTAATGTTACCTGAAGTGGGAGTCTGCTACAGTCTGCCGTGAATTATCACTTCAAGGTAACACAAGTAACAGGAACTAATTCAATCAAAGAAAACATTGTTTCATTTAGTGCTTCCAGGCAAACAAGCTACAATATGCCTTTCACTGGTCGTCTCTCTGAGCAAAAAAAAAAACTACTTTGCTTTTGTCGCAGCTACTTGTTACCCAGCAAGTTTAGCCTAGTGAAAACCTCATGGAGTTGTTGAGCTTTATGTGAGTGAGCTTCAGTTATGATGGCGGTGCCACTGCTATAAAACCAGCCTTCCCTCCTCTCTATATCCAGCTGTGTAGCAGCTCAGTCCCTGCACTGTAACCACACAGGAAAGACTGCACTTTTTTTAAAGGTTTGTTTTTGTTTTTCTTTGGGCGGAGGATTTTGGTCGCTTTTTGAATACACCTCTAGCACAAAAACTCCCAGTTAGAGCATTGCCATACTAACTTTAACACTGTGTAACTCTGAAAAAGCTGGGATTGGCTCCAGTATGAACTAAAAGGGCCACACACATGAAACCAGTCCAGTACAGTACAGTCCAGTCCAGTGAAAGATACACAGTGCAAGTCAGACAGGATCTTTTTTTATTTACTTACATATAAGTATACACTAAATATAAAAATACATATTAAAAGTGTGTAAATAAATCATGCATGGGGGCCCCTGGACAAGGGCCTCGGTTTAAAGTGACTAGACAGAAAATGACTAAAAAGAGGCACAAAACTACTACAAAGACATGAAATTTAACTACAAAATGCAGAATGACCACAGAGATGCTCAGCAACTAGTCACAAAAATACTGTAAAGACATGCAAAATTATTACAAAAAAGTGCAGAGTCATGCAAAATGACCACAGTGTCTCAAACTAAGTACAAATAGATGCTAAACAACCACAAAGAGACCCATAAATAACTGCAGAGAGAGGGGAAAAATGGCCACCGCTGTGCTATGTACTCATTTTTCCTTGCTCCAGTGTAGGAGGGGTGGGGGGCCTTTTACATGTCTGTGCCCAGTGTCTCATAATCTGTCTTTGAAATAAATAAATGGCACGTATGTGTGTAGATTTTAGCTCACCTTGTGATGGAGACCCTCCACCCTGAGCTAAGAGACCTGATTGGTCCTCGCCTTAAGGGGAACATGCAGCAGAGACAGAAGAGTTGGATGCTGGTGAGTTCTTATCATACTGTACAACTCGCTGCAGACGTCCTGGACGAACACAGAACGAGTCTAAACCAATTATGTTCCTGAACAACTCTCTTCCAGATCTCTGATGCAGTGTACAGGCAAGTGTTGTCTCAGACCACCAGACAGTACAATGCGCTGGTTGAAGCCTGTGAGACCCAACGAGTCGCACTGGACGGCAAACTACGTACCGACATGGACCAGATCATCACGTCTAAAGAACACATCATGGGCAAGATACGAGGTGACCGAAGATCTACACGCAGCATCCTTTTCGTCATGACAAACAAAACATCCAAATTATAGTTAGAAAATTTTTAGTTCATATTTTTATAGCTGAATCTATTTTTAACTGAAGACCACCTTGGTTTGCCTTCTCACACGTCCAGTGCATAGGTGCTTGTTTCACTCTGTGCTTGCTCTGTTGTGTATCATGTTCTTCCTGACACACTTCATTGTTTGCCTCAGTGAGATGTCACTGCACTGCCTCTGGTTCAGGATCAGTGGCACAGCAAAATGATCAGTCTGGTCACAGAATAGGTGAATAAGGGCTGTTCTTCTGTTACTACACCTCCTTCCATATCTGATGGTTTCCTTCTCTTGTTTCATGCTCAGCACTTTCCCATCACAGGTTTTGCTTTGAATTTAAATCTCTTGTTGCCTTTCTTTCATTCTTCTGTCTTGCTCATGTTGTGTGATAGGGCACCAAAGCATCCACCGGTGAGCCTGTCAGCTTCTATTCAAAACATAACTTGGCACAGACTGTTCTTTTTTTTCATGTTTACTGCTCCCATTGAGCTCAAGTGGAAGAGCTGCATTCCATCGCCTGCACTGTCGTTTCTGACTTTGTGCCACAGACAAGGTTAGAAACTAGAGGTCACCTGTACAAAACCAGGTTCACTTTACATGAGACTGATGCAGAAAATTAGCTGCATAGTCCTATAGCTGTGGATTTTATTTAGCTGTCTTTCTGCACAGACGTTACATTACTAACAACTGGGTTTGTCTGACAGTTGGGCAAAAATGAAAGCTGCAGGGCCTGCATGGAGACAGCACAACTGTTATTAAGAAATGTCATTGCATACATACCAACCATTTCGACACGGCTTCAAACAATGCACTGCAGATTACGATGGCTTAGTGGCACAGTTCATGTGATGTCAGAGCCATGCCTTTATTTTTGTTCTTGCATTACAAGCTGCTACAACTAATCATGAATATGTGCGCCTTCCATCTTCCATGTGTCACTGCTGGGTGCAGCTCTGGTGTTGCCCAAGGCGGAACAGCTCCTACGGAGTAGCGTGCAGCCCTACATCAGCTCTATCCTGGAGGCCCTGATGGAGCCCACCAGCAGAGGTTTCGCAGAGGTCAGGGATGTTTTCTTCAAGGAGCTGGTGGAAATCAGCAAGAACTCCCTGAACAAAGAGGGCACGGAAAAACTGAGAGATGTGAGTCATGCTTTGTGACTGCAAAGCTTTCTTTTATTCTTTTGTTATGTACATTAATGGAAGGTTTGATTTAGGTGTTAATATAGTTGACAGTAATACGACCAAGGTAAAATACAGGGAAAACAAAGGATAGAAATGACCTATAATAATGTAGGGCTGTAACATTTGGTTTTGGTGACATTATTAGTGCACATGAAAAGACTGTGTTTGTGGAATCTGTAGTGCTAGTCTTTAATTAGAAGTCAGGGAGTGTTCTCAGCTGCAACAGATCCTGAACAATCAACTCAACCTTTGTGTTTGGTCTCAGTTCTCCTTGGATGATGCTCGTAGCACTTTGATCACTATTGCCCTCCTCTGTCGGTCTCCCTCCCTCAGCACATGGAGAGGCTGTCCATGCTCGCCTTCCACCCGGTCAAGATGCAAGGCTGCTATGAGAAGGTGGAGGAGCTCAATCTGGAAGGACTGCAACAGAGGTTCGATGTCTCCAGCCCGTCTGTGTTTGTCGGCAGGGCTCAGATCCTCATGAATGAGGTAAGGTGTCACAGCAATGCAGTGTCAGGATGCCTGAAAATACTCCCTAGTTTCTAGTCAGACAACACACCAGCAACCTGTCTTATTTGTTGTGAAGGCTGTACCTCCACCTGCTGGACAACAAGAGTAGGACAACTTGTAAAAATTGAGCTTAAGCAGAGCTATTGTTTACTGTCACAACTGGTATTAATCTACCTTGTGCTATTGCATAACTTACCGTATAACTGGTTTTTATTTTGACAGCAAATGGACAATGCTGTGTACACATTTGAACAGCTTCTTCACCAATCTTATGAGGCCAAGGGAGAAGATGACTTCTGTAAGACCATCCAGAGGTGCCAGGACAGGGTTCTCAAGGTAAAGCAGACAAATTAGACAAACAGATGGAAAGACTGATTAAAAGGATGACAACATCAAGCAACAAAACACTAATTTGATCAAGTGTTTCCAGTATTTACAGCACATGAGATTAAAACGTGCAACTATGAATGAAATATTGCTGTCTGGCTTGATCTGGTCAAAGAAATTTTAAAAACACGAGAACTCTGAGGTTCAGACAGCATCTGATTTATCTCGAAAGAGAGAGAGAGAGAGATGGAGATTTCAGTAGAAGCAGAGCTAAGGTCAATGTTATTAGTGGACAGAGCAGAAAAACATGAATCTTTGAGCTCTGCATGCATTTCTGGTCTTTCCCTGTCAGAAATTTGATTATGACAGCAGCACGGTACGCAAGAAGTTCTTCAGAGAGGCTCTGTTGCAGATCATCATCCCGTACATGCTGCAGAATCTCTCGCCGTCCTGCTCTCCTGTGAGTAGCACCCAGCACAGCCTCACACTACACTTCCTGTACAGTATAGAATCACAATGAAGAAGCATGATTTCATCCACTTTAGACATTTAGCTGACCAAAAATATTAATATTGAACCAAATACATTCAAAATTCAGGACTTTTGATTGTCTCTATTTAAAATCTTAAAAAACTACATTTAATGTTGCTGGTTCCTTTAATTAGCTTACTCCCCTGGCCAGTGGAGTGGGAGTTTGATTCAGATGCCTTCCTGAATACTGAAAGCTTTATGATGCTCACCTCTGTTCACTCCTTCCACAGGAACTGCCTCGCTTCCAAGAGTTCATCTTTGAGGACTGCTCCCGTTTCCTCCTGGTGGAAAACATGTTTGAGGAGGTGGTGTTGCAGTCTGTCACTAAGGACATAATGATGGGTGAGGGCCAACAAATGTGTTACCATGCCAGTAGTTGTGGTAGTTCTTAATGATGTATCATCAGAGTACATTACCTAACGCACTGCTCACACACTGACTGATTCTCTTGTTTCATTCTCTGTCCAGCTGTGAAGGAGGCAGCTGTCCAGAGGAAACACAACCTCTACAGGGACAGCATAATTCTGACCAACAGTGACCCTAACTTGCACCTGCTTGAAGATACTGCCCCAGTGGACTGGGCCACAAAATTTGGGGGCGATGAGGCAGAGGGTTCTGTCAGTGATGGTGGCACAGGAGGGGGTTTTGGGACAAGACGTAGGCAGGTGGTGTCCATGATCCAGCCAGAAGGGGTGCCTCTGCCCTATGAGTCCTGTCTGGAGGTGCCAGGTGTGGAGCTCATCCCTGAGGAGGATGCAGACGTGTTTGAGGACGAAGAGAAAAGCCAAGAGGAGGATGAGGAGCACTGTGGCCCTCCTCAGGACCCCATGTCTCCCGATAGTGTGAATGAAATCAGGGACCTGATTAATCCGGTGGTGGAGATGGCGGTGCCAGTTTCAGGAGGACGCAAGAGCAGCATAACCAATGGGCCTGAGCCGACTACCAGCACCATCACACTGGAGGATGGGGTGCAGGAGCAGGTGGCACTTGTCAGCATGGTAGTGGAGGACGTTCCCAGGAAATCTCCACGGGACAAGATGTCCCCACAGACAATCCTCAAACAGCTGGTAGGAAGCAGGAAGAAGGAAACTGATGAGGAGCATCAGGAGGAAGCAGCTACTAAAAACGACATCAAGGAAACCGAGACGGCAGTACAGACAGATGACAATAAAAGGATTCCAGAGGTCTCTGCAGAAAAATCAGATTCATCTTCGCCACTGCCACCACTGGCTACAGACTCCAGCTCGCATGACAACACTGGCTTCCAGTCACCATCCAGTGTGGGGCTGGATGAAAGTGAGCTTCGCGCAATCACAAATCACCTTGCTGGAGACGACAAAATCATCGACCTGCTAGATGTGGAAGTGAGTTTAGCGTAGGAAGACAGTCCTCGGAACCTAACGCTGAAACTGGAGAAAAGCTTGGTGATAAAACATTGTGCATCACAGGTAATGGGAGAGAAGATGGATTGTACCGCCTGGGGAAAGTAGCCTGCCTCCAATACCAGTGCTAGGAGCTAGGTACTTAGGGCTCCGGGCTACTTTTCCACGACCCACCCTGTATTTGAAGGTTTAATTCAAAGCATTGCTTTTTCTTTATTGTTGTTGATATTGTACACTCAAAAATCAACTCTCTCATCCTGCCCTAGACTTTTTTAGACACTTCTCTGGTGACTGGTTCCTCTCTATGTAGCTTAGTAAATCTCGGTACAGGTTTTCTTCCTATTTTGTACATGAATGCTAAATTCAGCAAATGTGTTTTTGTTAGGATCGGTTATGCCGCCCCAACTGGCTGAAGGTCCATAACCAGGCCCCTCAGCCCAGGCCCCTCAAAGGGATCAGACATTTTTAAACTTGCCAAAAAAACAGGAGCACAAAAAAAAAAACTACTATATTTAAGTTGTTTTCTAATTAGTTTAACATTTACATCAGTTATGTCTGTATACACAATAAATCCCTCCCTAATGAGCACCGCCTAGACCTGGGCAGCAGGGGGCGCTGTAACCACTCTATATGTTGTACTTGGGTTCGTGTTTGTTTTACCTGCTACATTTTATTTCTAAATACTATTTATGTGAAATTCATTTTTTCAAAATATATGTCATTTGTTCTAAGCATTTCTTACATTTGTAAATGGCCTTTATGTTTCAACTGTCAGGGACTGGTTATTGATTCCACTATGATTTTAAAAACAAGATGTTTTTCATTTTTGACATCTGTGGAGGGGAATTACCCAAACTTATTGTTTCTTGCGATGTTGCCTGTGGGTGTAGATGACCAAGATACAGTATGTAGTGGCTCTTTAACTTGTAGGATTTTTGATTAACTTGTAATCAGAGGAATCCAGAGATTCATGTTGGCTTTGAGTTATTTTGTAACACTGCTATATTTAGTTTTCCAACTTTATAAGTAATGAATCAAACATTACGGTGCCTTTTCTTTTTTAACTATTTAAAACCAATTGTTGCTTACTTCATTCAGCTTGTCTAATCTGGGTCAAAGGGTCAGTTCACACAAAATCATAGCTATTTACTGCTATAATGTTGTCAATCTGCACAGGCAGTTTTGATTATTACGTGACAGGGATGAACAGATGAGCTGTATAAAAAAAATAAAGTAGTAGTACAATAGTATCACTGATATTTATGGTTGTGGGAGACATTTGTTCACGTTAGGAAACAATCTTGTGTCACTGTGAATCATGACAGGGGGTGACAATGTTACACGTGTTCTTTAAAGCCGGAAGGTCAGATCATCTCTAAATACATCAGCCTGCAACAGTTTGGCAAACAGACAGTGCACATGGAGCTGTTTGGCAACACTCTGTAAGGGTGCATCATTAGTTTCTAGACGTTTCCTGGAAAAAAACATTTAACATTAAATAGTATATGAACAGGAAAAGTAGAGGCAAATATGTTGAACTGTATGTTTGGCTAAATGCTGCATTTTTGCTAGGTAAGTAAAGCAAGTGATTAGAATTAAATGGAAGTATATATTTTATATATCAGAAATGATACATTTTTCTTACAAGCTGCACAACGGGTGGCACCATGCACCGTTATCAACCCTCAAAAAACCTCCACGGAGAAAAAAAAAAGCTAAAAAATAAATTAATTAAATAGCAACAGATGGGAGGGATTGACATGGAGTACACAGATGAGCAGGAGTAAAGTCAAAGTACAGAGAAAGAATGACAATTTTAACAATTTACATCTCAACTGTTGTTATTATTATCAAATTACAAAGTCTTTTTCAGGATCCTACCTATGAAGTAACAGTTTATTTCTAGGAAATTACAGATCTTAGAACCTGTAAAATGCAATGTTATCACATTTTTTTTTTGTTGGCATCACACACACACACACACACACACACACACACAAATAAAAGAATATTTTCCACCATCTGCAGTCAAAAGACCAAGCTGGCATGTCATGTTAAATGCTGAGAGCTGCAGTCCTTTCTTGTGTTTTTTTGAGTTTTATGAGTCAGTGTCCTGTTGTGAAATCACCTGCACCCAAACCACACTTGCAGTTTGCTGCCTTCAGGCCCATTACTTCCAACAGAGAAACTGTCACCTTCTTCTATTTATTTATTATTATATATTATCCTGTGTAGTGTGCAGACATGCCTGATTTTGTCTTTCTTAAATATATAAAAAAAATATGCATGAATAAATTTATTTCACAAAATTTCTTTCACAATTTTTGTTCAGTGACAAACCAACACTAAGGAAACTGATATTCAACACTAAACAAGTTAGATATTTGAGTATGTTTGTATAATCAAATTTAGGTACAGTCAGCAAATAAAGTACTTTTTTTCCCTTTGTGGTTTCATGGTTTGTCAATGATTGCCAAAGAACCACATGATCTACTTTCCCTGTCCCCCTGATGTTCATGTGAGAGTGACACCAATCAGTAAACAAACCACGACTACACATCGTGAAGTTTACAAGCTAAAAATCACATGATTCCGTTCCTCAAACTGACCGAGGACTGTAACTAACTATAAAGTCTGCTTTCAGGTTTGACTCCAAAAAAGACAGTTGGAATTCAATCTTTTAAACACAGGCAGTTAGTTCTACTCACAAAATGTTGCTGTTTAATCCATCAAAACCAAAAGTCATAAAGTCAGGACAACTTTTTCTTACTGATTAAAAAAAAATAAAAACTAATTTCTCAGCCCCCTGTAGTGTCAGAACACCTTGAATTACTTAGTAAAATAAAGTTGACTCTGTAGTAACTATAAAAGTATGTCAAAGTTGATCATAAAAACTAAATTAAAGTGTTAATATGCCACAAGCTATGGATGACCTGTTTGTGTTCTACTGTACCTCTGCTGTTATGTTGAACAAACAAAAAGAGTAAAGCACACAGCACTCCCTGCCCCAGAGGCTGGAAAACATTTTTTCATACATATTACTCAGATGTTTAGTGTTTGAGGAGTGAAGGAAGACAGAATCTGTAAAAAAAAAAAAAAAAAGAAAAAAAAAAAAGATCCTTCTCAAAAGTTATCAAATTATTCACACCGTCTCTGCGGTAGAACGGTGACTGACAAAGTTTTGTGTGTGACAATTTCACAAACAGAAGTCACCCCAACTTCTTCCCCACTCTGTAAATATTTCATAAATTCAAACTCTGCCCAGGCCAGCAGAACAACATGCAGACATTAGGCATCGAGTGGTTTCTATTTAGACTCAAGAACATGAGCCTTTTAAAGCCGGAAGGGGAAGCGATTCAGTATCTGAACCCTGTGTCTCAGCAGAGGCAATGAGATGAAATAACCAAGGGCAGAGCCCACGATGACCCCCAGGAAGATCCACGTGTTGTAGGACATGACACACAGCATCAGCAAGTAGCCCAGAGACACCTGCAGCATGTGGAGGGCCGTCTGGATACCGTGCAGCAAATAGCTTAGGACGAATAAGGGTGAGAGAAAGGCATGTGTCACACATACGTTCCAACGCACCTAAATAAGAAGATCAATACCTCAAATACTTCAGTCAGTAGCAAACAAGGGTGTGAAACTTGACACCACTCAGTTTGAACGAAGACGCACAGACACACACATCACAAAGAAAACAATACACAACAGTGGGACGAATTATTAAATTACAACTTCCAAATGACCAGCGTGTACTACAGAAATCTTTGGCTGATTTCTTGTTTTTATTCTAGTGTTTTAGATGTGCCTATTAGCATTTTGTATGAGAAACTAGAACATATTACTGAGTACAAGTGACAATGTTCATTTCAATCTAGTTGTATTTCACAAAGACCCTGACCTGTTCCTGGTGTTTCGATCTGGAGCCAGTGATTCCATGGGGGTCAGTGAGGACTCGGGGCTGCTGCTCAGGACAGAGCTGCGGGTGGATGGAGGGGCCATGTACGGAGACCGAGGCTGGGCCAGCTTAGAGGAAGTCCCCAGCCACACCCTCCACACTTTAAGCAACTCATAAAAAACTGTCAGCATGAAGACCACAAACACTGACAGCACCATCCCTGGAAACATAAGCACACACCAAACACACAATTAACTCACACAGCCTGAACACAGTCACAAAGCCTCTCATTTACTGCCATAAAGGAAAATTTCAGCATTTTGCAAAGTACTTATTCCCTCTCTCATGTTTCTAAACTAAATATGAAGCTCAAGTCAAAAGCAAATCTCTGTTCTCAGCTGACATCGTGCTGCAGCTAAAAGTACTGTACCTCTTTGCCCATCTGGCAGTACTTTATAGAGTTAAAAAACAAAAAGCTAATGAAAGTTATGTGGGATCTGATTTAACAGATGACAGAGCTTCATAACCATTTGCATGCATACAGAACGTGCTACATTTCCATCACTGATGCGAGATCGACCGATGGCTTTACCTGTGAAGACGTCTCACTCCGTTGGATCTGTTGGAACTACAGAGAGGCACTCAGTTCACTTTGATTAATCAGTGGTGTAACAGAGTGGTGCCTCTTTATCGCAAATGAATATTCCTCTCTTTCCTCTCTTAAATATTAAAATAAAAAATGCAAACCAATTACCTATCCAATGAATGAACATCTAAGTAGTGGAATATTTGGGCCCAGCCCTAGAAAAAAATTGGGGTCTCATACTTGATGTGCTGCTTGGTGTATACTGTCTTACCAAACATTTTTTGACCATTGTTACCTCCACCAAGGGTAATGTTTTTTCTAGCATTTGTTAGTTTGTTAACAGCATAACTCAAAAGGTAATAAATGTATTGAAAACATTTTTTGGAGAGGGAGGGTATGGCCCGGACCAGATTTTGGTGCTGATCTATATCACAATTTGGATACAGGAATATTTTTATAGATTATTCACCACAGAGCGCTAGAAAGGCTGCTGACTGTATGTGAGCCCCCCTGTGACCAAAGCGACCTTGCATTTCTGTCAGATAACTTGCCACTTCTCCCAGAAAATTGCTGCAATCACAGATTGACACAATGCTACGGTATGTTTTAACCAGAAGAAATGGTTTTGTGTGTTCATTGTTCACTCTAAAGTGCACAGTTAGCATGCTGACTAGCATGGTAATTAGCTTAAGGACTCATTAGGCAAGAGTAGAAGCTGTGACTGGGTTTAGTGGTATGCTGCCAGTGGTAGCAATATGCTATGTAGCTTCACTTGGAGTTAATTCTTGTAGTCAGTTAGCTTGCTGGTGGCTGTTGTCATTAGAGTAAATTTAACCTACTATGGAGGGCTGTACTGAGTGTGTGGATGCAGGTAAACAGGAGGTGGGAGTATGGGACACTGGAACACACTGCTGAGCCTTCTCTGTGTTGTGGGCCAAACTCAGTGAAACGCCAATTAGTGAGAGGGTGCCCACTTGATGACCCTGTATGCTTGACTGCACGGTAACATACAAGCTCATCTTGACACCATGTTACTTTAATTCAGAAGACAGGTCAATGACCATAATCAGTCAGAGCAGTTGTTAAGTGGCTACTGGTGAGTTTGGTGAATTATACAGTGATTGTGGTTGAACAGCTGGGCGGACCTGGAGAATGGTATCACTTGTCATGGGGCCAGCGCATTTGTATGACGGCACAGCCTGATACCCACTGCAGGGCTCACTGATAGGTCCAAACATTGATGACATAAACACTGGTCTTCTACAGGAAAGCTCCCCCATCGTTTGGAACATTTTGGCATTGTAAGGTGTAGCTGACACTCTGCAGCCTACCTGCAGGCCCATGCACATCCCAGAAGTCAAACAGCAGTGTCACATGGCTCGACACGCCAAAAGTCATCTAAAAGGGGGGGGAGATTAAACAGCTGAGTGCCATTCACTGGCCAATTCCTGAAGCATCTTTCTAATATTTCTGTTTCTGAGAAATATAACAAAAGCTGAAACCTGAAACAGGCGTTAACAGCAACACTGACCTCATCCTCCCTTCACAGATTAGTCACCCAAGACAGAGCTACTGCACTGCTCTGTGACCAGTCCTCTCCTCCATTTTCTGGTCCAGTGACTAAGAGTGTGTTTGCTTACAGAGCTAAGAAACCTTGACCCTCTTTTTAAACTTTTTCTGACAAACCCCAGACGCAGCTAAAAAAAAAAAAAAAGACCTGACTGAAGGAACATTAAATGGTGTTTGACGTTCATACAGTACATGAAAACAAAATCTCTGTGTTCTTTTATGCCACCCTCCAACCTTCCTCTGTTCTACATAGAGTATAATTTTTGGATTATTTACATGCAAAAAGAATTTAATTTATGCCATTCCAAACAAACTTCTATTCAGCTAATCTCGCAGCACAGTTGTATGATGTACTGTCCCACAAAAGCTCACTCTGTTCTGTGACTGACACAGGAATGCACCGCTTGTGTGTGGTCAGCTGCCCAGTCCCTGCCAGGCTGCTAGTTCACCACCTGACTCATGTTACTTGATTATTTGATGTGCAGAACTTCTATCAACAACATTACTCATTTAAGTCGTTTATTAAGTAGCATTTCTCTCAGCTGTCTAATAATTTGCAGACTAAAATAAGCAATATTGCAGCTGTAGTCCATGACATGCCACTGTGCATGTTGTCCATTTCAGTTATGTGAAACAGGAAGATGACACAAAGTGTGACAGACGCCCTGTGGTTTAGAGGTCTGAGGTGTATATTGTGAAACCTGAATGTCCATTAAAATCCGGCTAAGCACCGATCTCTGCACACAACACCTCACTCACAAAGCCAAACAGTAAACCAGGTGCTGATCTGGAAATGCAGTGCCATCACTACAGTGACGTAAAGCAGGGTGAGAGAGAGCAACCAGATGATCAGCAACTGAAACCGATCAAACCTGAAATAGTCCCTAACCCCACAGAAAAACTGTATGTGCACAACTGTGGCAAGTACATTACATGTACTTTGAAGGACGTCTGTCGGTAAACTGTGATGGGGTTTGTTTAAAACCATCTGACTTTGTGTTTCTGACCTATGTTTAGTGATGTCACCATGTTCCTAAATCTCAGCAATTAACTTGGTAAGAACAATATTATTATCAGAAATGATGACTGAATCTACAAAAATATGATTCAGTATGCAGGCTAATAAAGCTGAAACTGAAGGGGGAAAGTAACAGCTGGAACAGAGGAGAGTTATTAACTTCATGTCACTTCAAAAGGTTTTGACTAAAGCCTCGTCATATTAACCTGCAGAAACAGAGACTCATGAACGATTTTAACATTTAAAAACAGTAGAAGGTCAAATAACAAAGTCTATTATATAAACAGTGGTGAAGTAATGTAATAGTGATACAAAGGACATACGTATTTGAGGCTGCTTGAATAGGCCTACACCAAAGAACTTCAAATATAAACAACTTGAGTCAACAATCCAACACAAACCAAAGCAGGGTGATCATTGTGAGCTTATCTTTCACACCACACATATAAGCCAGGTATTTGTTTGCCAGGTGAAAGCTGAGTCTGCAATCATAGTGTGTCCGTTACAAACACACTCAGTTCTCTTCCAAAGGACAGTATCAGTGTTTTTACACTCTCTGTAGGCTCCTTTACATTCAGATATGTCAGCAACTTTTAGCTGCCATTTATATCAGCAGCATCTGCAAAGGGGTGAAGTTCCTCTAATAAGTAAAATGAAAAACACCATTTTTACAGTGTTTGGACCAAAATAGGAGAAATAGCTAGATTAAAAATGACAAAATCTAAAGAGCTTCATGCACTGATCCTGACTGCAATGTTATGGTTGGTTACATTGTGGCTCAATATGAAAGCATGTGAACTCTCAGTAAAATTATAATGAGATATGTTATACTTCAGTGATTTCCTCTTATCGCCAGACCGTAGTTAAAAATCCCCAAACAAACTGAGTACAATATCTTTGTGGGTCAAAACTTTATGAATACTTATTATATGCCTCCGGGTTTACTTTAAGCCGGAGAAACGTTTCAAACACTACTTTATTCAATAAACACACAGCCTGTATATTGTGGCAAAACAAAAACTTACCGACATCATGGTGAACTAGCTGACCACAGGCTACGCAGTTCCAGACTTCAGTTCCCCATCACAAAACACTCACGACCCGAGTTAGAGAAGCTGCTGGACTCAGGCAAGTAGGCTACGAACCGCTCGTCAGGTGAAAGGTAGCGGTCATCATCTGCCAGTACAACCCAGCTGTTGGATAGCCTATCTGGTTTACGCATGCAACAGCCAGGGTATGGCAATGACGCTGCCGCGAGACTTTAGACTATGCACAGGTGGCTGACGGTTAGTGGAGTTTTTTTGTTCATGTTTTGGCAACAAACGCCTAGTACCACTAAATATTCCAAGTAGTACTTAAAGTCCTTTTCCAGTCATGCGAAAACTTGAGTGCTATCGTCGACATCAAGTGCGGCGTGTTAAAACTGATTAAAACAAAAAGGTTAACATGCACAGATAAGATACCACGGTAAGCATCACCACATAGTACGGGGAAGACCGGAGTTAAAACTGATTAAAACAAAAAGGTTACCATGCACAGATAAGATACTACGGTAAGCATCACCACATAGTACGGCGAAGACCGGCGAATCACACCTTAACAGACAAGCCAACGTCCCACCGTGAAGGCTGTGCATTACTCATACCGCCACCTACTGTCACGGAGGAGATCATAACAGCAACATTGTTCCAGAAAACATCTAGTCATTTTGAACAGTTAATCAAGATCTATAAATATAGATAACACTATGTCAGGCTCTGACAAGCAGCAGGTTGAAAGCCTTGAATGTGAGCTTGAGACTGAAAAGCTCACTCACACAGACAGAATGGCAGAGAACCTGCATTTGATCGACCCCTTGAGGGCTGAGCAGGACACCCTTCATCAACAGATGGTGGAGGGGATCACTACAATGCAGAAGAAAGCTTTAAAAAAAATCATTTTGGAAGCATGCTCCCATTTCAGAGCCAAAAAGATGACTGTTGACAGAAACAACAAAAACAGTTTTATTGTTATACTATACAGTACAACTTTGACTCTGCACTAGTCAAGTTTATTTATATAGCACAATTCAAATCAACAAACTGTTGGCCAAAGTGCTTTACAAATAGACAAAAGTTAGTTCAAATATTACATTTACTGACGGAGGTGCTATTATAAGTATCTGCATACTGCACCTGTAAACAGTTTACAAGTAGAAAAATACAAAAACCACACATCACTCATCATATGTGAGGAAGAATGAAATGGTAACACAGAACAAGGAGCTTCATAAAGCTATAGAACCTTTGGGTGGAGAAGAATTCAGACTCAGGATAGATGAAGGCAGCGCGAAACGACCCCAGGGAACCAAGCTGCTGCTGCAGCTGTTTTGGAGATGACAGGAATTGCACATATTTTTAAAAACACGAATAAAACTTTCAACCACTTCAGTGTCCTTGCTGTTTTTAAAAGCTACATTTGTATACATCAAGTTCAGTTAGCACAGTCTCTAGGAGGCCAAATAGGAAAAGCTGCAGGAGCACATCCTGATGTCCTCTTGACAGGGAAGGGAGAAGTCCATCACAGACTCCTACAAGCGGTGGTGAGGTGGTCCAAATTGTTTAAGGCATGCTTTCACAAAAAGGAGAGTTCAGTCTCATAAAACAGAAGAAAAATCCTGAAAAATGGGACAACATGATCTGCAGTGCAGAGAAACTTCCAGCGATGTGACTTCTTTTTTCACAGGTTTGAATCTGAATGTGACTTTGACTCGAGATTGTGCTAGGTTGTAGTAAAATAAGACAGTCACCTAAACATTTAGAACAGCAGTTGTGCTTAAGATTTTCAGTGGCGTTCCTTTCCCCACAAACAACTGACAATAAACATGATAAGAAACAAGGATCTTTTCTGTCATTAATATATGACATACAGGTATGACAAATGAGACCAAACTGTAGGTATGTGCAAACCAAAGACTTCACTAACTAATGTTGTTAGTAAATCAATATGGGCAACAGTATGTAGAGTGATGGTATGACATCATATCTTTAAATGACTATGCCAAAACTAAAAATATTGAAATGACAAACACAGGTACTGAATCAATCTGACAACTGAGTCTGAGTGAAAACACACCTTACCATAGGTTAACTCACCTTCTCCAAAGAAGCTACTCACACACATTTCTTACTCTAGATGTGAGGATATTCATTGACATAATGTATTCCCTAGCTCCTTGCCGTAACCATAACTGAATGCCTAATCCCAGACCTTACCCTAACCTAACACTAGTTCTAGCCTGAACCCTAAAATCAAGTCTTAACTGTAAAGTAGCCCTTGAAGTTGTGAAGATCAGCTAAAATGTCCTCACGATGCAAAGATGTCCTCATAATGATGGCTAGTGTTGTAGTAAAGACCACCTAAACTCAGAATAAGACCATGCACTTTGTAGACGGTCCCTGTAATGTTGTAGTACTTGGTCTCAAGGCCAAGACCAATCTCTTAAAGACATGGTCTTGTCTCAGTCTCGATACACTCTGGTCTTGGTTTAGGTGATCTTGACTACAACACTAATGATGGCACCGAAAAAAAAAAAAAAAACAGTTGGTCCACACAATGTAATAAGGACATGTGTACACACACACACACACGCAGATGCAAGCACTGCATTCAAACTGTTAAAAAGTGCTGCGCTGTGGCCATTTATGTTTATCATCTGCACTGACTGACATTTCAGAGGATTCACATCTCACTACTGTAACACTAAAGTAAAGATATTTCAGAGGATTCACATCTCAGTACTGTTGTAGGCAACAAAGAGGAGAAGAACAGCGCATGTTCTCCTTCTTACTGCGACAAACAATGAAGCAAATCACTTGCAGCTAACAACATCTGCTCAACAGATAGTTACAAAAAAAGTGTACATTTATACAGCAGACCTCTGTAGGTTTATCACAGAAACACAAACTCAGGTAAGCATTTCAGTTTGCCCCACTCCAATTTCAAGACCAAGTGGAGATAAAGCTTGTACCGGTGATGACCACAAGAGGGCAGAGAAAGGCTGAGTTAGTGCTGCACGCCTGCGTCCAACTTGCTGAAAAATGAGCCTCCTCTCTGCAGATAAACTTTCCTTTGAATACAAAGCTGCTCTCAAAGCAAAACCTCTCAGTTATATGAGTCAGCACAGGGTGGCAGTACAGAGACAACATATATCTATATTTTATTGTTTATTATCTCTAAAACCAGAGCATATCTGTGTATGTGCTGCTATGTAAAATTACACTTTTATACATGAATTTTACATAGAAGTGTATGCGCTGGCATGTTTTCGCAACATAAATGATCTTATATAGAAACATACTTTTTTAGACATAAAAATGTAAATATTCCAATTGGCTAATTCATGTCAATAAAACCACTGAATAATTTTTTTTTTTTTTACTGCTACCTGTGTTTTAAGTTGCAAAGCTGACAACGTTCCTTAGCACACCATTTTTCTTTTAAGCCCCAATGCATAGGACTCATATGCTGTAATGAAAGAAAAAATATCCTACTCAATTGGAACTAAAGTCATTTACAGACAGACCTGGACCTGTGAGTAAAAAATACCCCTCTGATATGCAGCTCTGCCCTGCTGATGATGAGGACAACTAGGACATACATATGCAGAAGTGGACCGCAATAACAAGTGCACAGCTAGAATGACGCCACGAAAAAGGCCAAATTTGGTCTTGTTAAACTCAAGCCTACAGTAGGCCAAAATCCTTTTCAAGGCATCACAGATGCGATAATTTACAGACAAAACAAAACAAAAAAGATCTGACCCTGCCTGAAGGAGCAAACAAGTCTAAATGCCATATGACGATCCAAAATACTTCTGTTAGGCACAGTGATGTTCACCCATTCTGTCTGACATGACCTAGGGAGACACGAGGTGCAATTAAAATTCTTAGACTCAACCGAAGGTAGGATCCTTTTTTACTTGTTAAAGAACAAAGAAACTGTCTTTGGGGTGTTTAGGGGGGAATGTATTATTGTCCATCCATTTCCACCAATCCGTCCTGATTTGTCAAGAGATGAGTACAGACAGGTGTGGGTGGATGGGCATGGCCACAGTGCTTCATCACCTCCTTCTTCATTACTGCCTACTGTTGAAGCTGGAGTTGGCGCTACTGCAGCTTTCCTCATAAGTGGGTGGGGGTTCTGTAACACACAAAGGTAAATAGAGAGTCAATACAGGCTATAACTTATGCTGTGGATCCTTCATACTAACACTCTTGGATCATGTGTCCTGGCTTCACAGCTCTGGTTATGACAACTTTAAGCCTTGATGTGAAAGAGGAAACAGATTTGAATTCTTCAAATTATATTCATTTATTTAGTTCTGCTACTGTGTAACGCACAGGTTTAGCAGACGTGTGTATGAAGCACTGGTAGTGTCAGGTCATCTATCGCTTTTCATTTAAAAGTTGCTGTCTCCACTAACTAGCTGCTTTTAGAGACTGGACTTCAGACAACTTGACTATGGTGAAAACAAAGCATTGGCTTGGATATGCCCTTACATCAAACCCATACTGTTTATGTCCCTGCATGCATCTGTGCACTTGTCTGCCTGTGTGCCAGTGAGTAAGGTCGTCTGGAGAACAAACCATGAGGATAGTCGCAGCTGCTGTACTCTGGAGGGAGAATGAGCGAACAGGAGGTGGGGATAGGAGTCACGTTTCCCTCAGTGAAGAAAGGTATAGTGGCACCGGTGGACACACAGAACAGTGGAGCAGACACGTTGGGCTGCCGGTGGCTGGGAGGCAGTGCTGCACCTGGTGCGTGGCTGAAGGCGCTGGGGGACATGGTGACTGGCTGACCTGAGGGATCCTGCTGAGAGTGGCTCTTTGTGGGAATCTCTTCACTGGCTGTGCCACCTGCACACAACACCTCCTCTGGCTCCTCCTCTACCGGCGGGGCACTTGGTGTCACCCCTACAGCACTGGGTGCAATGGTTACACCACAGTGGTCTGGACTTGGGGGCATAGGCCTCGATGGAGACAAGTTCACAGTGATGTTCCCAATGTAGATGGGCAGAACGACAACTGCATCTGGAGACTTTAGTGACACCTGTAACACAAACGTTATTTATCAAAGGAGCACAGACCTCGATTAGATTTGACTTCAGCTACAATTAGAGTTGGCGCTTCCATCAGCCTAGTACAGTAACAGGAACACACACATTCTGACCTGAATGAAATAGTCGATGTCTATGAGGCTGCAACCGGCCAGCTCCGACTGCGGAAGAGGAGGAACGATAATTTGCTCCCTCCACTCTGCGTGTTTCCCCGCCTTCACCCCGGCTCCCTCCACCTCTGCGATGGTTCGCAGGTCAAACACAGGCCGCTTCGTCTTATAGGTCACTTTCTGTGGTTGGAAAAAAAAACAGATGTGAAAAAGGTGATGATGACTTCAGTTCACTGCGCCTACCTCTAGCTTCCAGCAAAGTGTTCCATGAAATGGATCAATACCATTACTTACAATGCAATACCGAGACTGTAAACTGCGCTCTCATAATAACAGTATCTGGCATAGGTCACTGGCTATGAACTCACAAATCTGTGAGTTGGAGAAGTGGGATGATGTTTATAGCCTTTGTTGTTTGTCATTTTCCTATTTTACTCTATTATCTTTTTTCTTTACTATCAAAACCAAGAGACTATGAGAAGAAACATTTCCAGAGATGACTCACTAAAGCAAGAGGTTTGCCTATAGAGACACAGGTCCAGTGGGGAAAAACAACCTGCGATTATATTCAATCATGTACCTGTATGAGACTGGCCAGTACACATCCCGTGTCCTTCCCTGACTTGTTGTGGATCTCAGCAGCTAACTTGATGACCTGCCCAGGTATGTAACCCCTCAGGTCACTGCGAGCTTTCAGCATCAGAGTCCCCGTCTTCACCAGGAGGTAGCTGAACTTCTTAGTGGTCACAGCGTAACTCGCACGCTGCAATGACAGAGTCACAGGATAAATGTTTGTTGTTAGTGATTAAGAAGCCTTATTAGCTGATCCTCATAATCTGTTCCTGCTAAGTTCCAGAGCATCAGAAAACTCTGACAGGCGTGACAGGAAGAGAGAGAATGAAAAGGAAGTAATGCAGAGCAATAAAGGAGAAAACAAATTAGATCTTGCCATGAAATCAAATAAGCCTCGACCAGGACAAAGATTGATCAAATAAAAAGCTACATTACGGCTTTGGTTTCAGAGTCCTCTGTTCTTCTGCCTCTAAATTATATCCAGAACATTTCATTCCAGTCTCGGACTTGCTGAGCAATAACTGACCAGCAAGTGACGGCATAAAGTGAGCATCTACATGAAAAGAGAGACAGACCTGTACACCAGACACTTACTTCAATGTCAGGCACCTCATTGAGGTTGAGCAAGTTGAGTAAGTAGAAGGGTCTCTGGGCCTTGTAGTCCTTAGAGAAGCAAGGTGTGTCGATGGCTGCCCTCACACGGTAAAGAATCTTCCCAAAGGGTCCCTCAAAAGAAGTCGGGACACCGACTGATGAAGCAGGTTACGAAAAAGACAATATGGACATCACTATGACAGTTAATGACATATCAGAAGTTGTGACTAACATAAAAACTGCTGAAGCCAATGATTTTTTCCACATTTCTCCAATTCAGTTCAAATTTATTGTCATTATACTGTACATGGTACATCAGCATGAATCTCTATCACCCGGTGTATTGTGTGTTTATTTTAAGACTGATATTTTAATATTTGGACATCTTCTCAGAAGGAGCCAGAAAAACGCGAAACAAACAAACAAACAAAAAACATTTTAAAATCCGTGTTAAAAGTCAGGTCGGTGCTCTCTGCCTGAAGACTGGATCTGTCTATTCTAAGGATATGCCATTCACATGTCAGTCTGCTTTCAGACTGCAGGGGGCAGTAGACACATAATTCTCCTCTGGGCTACTTCTCACTGCACAGTATTTAACATGCTCTGTGCCAGTGCTCTCAGTTCTGAGGGCTGAAAGGGGGGCAGGGCAAAGCACGGGGGCATGAAAACCTATTAAACGGTCAGTACACAACAGGAGAGGGAACTGAAAATAACGCCCCTCTCCACATGTGTTTCAGCCCACACCTGAGAGAGTGGGAGATGACCGGAGAAAAACAATGTAGTGTGTCTGTGCCCTCACAGCTGCCAAGAATGTTCAGCTGATAGTTGGGTTAGTTGCATGGTTGTGGTTTTGTATTTCAGCCCTCATGTTAAGAATGTTTCTGAACAAGCATGAGGAATAAACACTTTATTACAATGTGTATGTTCCTCCCACTTATTTTAATACTATCCATGTAATGATTGGTCACTTATTTGTAGTATCACATGCTGTATGTGTGTGTGTCTGCTTTGTGTCATAGACAAAGGGCCTAGAGCTAAATGCTTTGTAAGTATGCATACTACAAAAAGTCCCATCTTATCTGAGGTCATCACACCTAGCAAGTTCTTTTTGCTGATGTCATGTGGACTTAAGATAAGGCACAAGAAAATTACAGGAACTGAGGCCATGCCCCCGTCATGGAGAAATGAGTTTAAAAGGTTATGCTCACCTGGAATGAGAAACTGGAATGGGAAACTGTGTACACCTGCTGCCAGAGTTCCTGTAAAATAGGAAGGTTTATTAGTTACACTAGATAATTTGTGATAAGAAAATAAATGAAGGGACAGCTACAGGTGCAAACATAGTGATAATTCTTAGAGTTTGTGTGTATGATCATATTTATTTGCGCCTTCGGAAACACAAATGTCCTAGTGAGGCACCGTATCTGTGGGACTCCACAATTTTCCCAGTGGGATTGAGTTTCTCAGACAAACAGGCTGCTGTTCAAAAACAACTGAGCTTTGTTGAACACTATTTTGCTGTGAATGAAACTAGCAACCGAAACCCATCAGCCAACGTCACAAGGAGTGACTGTTGGTTGTATAAGGGACAGTACCTATAGCTGGCAAAACTAATCTCAGCAAAGTTAATCAGTGATTTAGGTACACGGTGAGCGGTGATCAACCCAAGACTGGGAGCAGTTCTCTACTCTGTTCTAATACAGGCCAGCCTGAGTGTGCCAAGTCTGCACTGTTAAAGTAAAGCACAAGCCTGGCTCTGTCTTTTCTTATAGCCAAAAAAATCTCATGAAATACCAAAAGGTACAACCCTGTCTAACCTGTTGGTGCAGGCCCAAGCCCACTGGGTCCTAATGAGGTTATACAGCCTGTGTCAACAGGTTGCAAATAGAGCACTTCAAGTAATTTCCTACAACAGCTGAGCATTTTAAAGACAGCCAGAAAATGTTAATCAGTAAATGATGCACTTCAATGTAGACTATTTTCAGGAGCTAAATAATACACACTTGGTGCTCTAATGAGTATTTAGAGCACTAAGAATGTGTATGTGCACTTTAGTCATAACAAAAAACAGTCTGTGTTCATTGTAATAAAGGAACATATCAGTGGATAAACAGGCCATCCTTGTTAGCAGGATGGTTTTGGTCTTTTCATGGGATTTGTTAACAATAAGAAAAATACAAACTACTGTAACTGCTTAACTTTACATATCAGGATAGAGTTCTCTCAAGCAGTAGTACAAAAGTAAAAGAAAAGTCTCTGAAGTGCAACATTATCAGTCTGCAAACTGTATTTTTATGGTATCAGACAACAGACAAACAGTAGCAAACCTCACTATGTCTAATGATCTCAACAGGAAGTGCTCTGAAATACGTTTAGGAATAAAACAAACCATGTGCAGTACATTTTCTATGAATAATTATTTTAACTAAGAAACTGAAGCTCTTTTATATCAGCTGTTAACACACTGACTGTTATAATGTCTGCAGTGCGCAGATAGGGTATCAACTCAATGCAATACTCCACCCACAAAGCAACTTTACAACTTTGAGTTTGGACTTGTCAGAGTGTTTTCTGAGTTTGCCAGGAAGCTAGACCCCTGTTCTTCCAGTCAGCTTTGTAAAAGCAGAATGGTTTCACAAATTTCTCAGATATCCCTCAAATATACCAAAAGACATGTAGCACATGCATTTATTGTACATGTCTGTCTGTGTGCCTGTACTTTTTATCAAACTAAAATAAGATCTTGGAAGTTATCATGAGGCCTGGGAAACGTCAGCTTCTAATACTCACCGAGCTTCCACAACAGTGATATTTAGAACAATCACCGATTTCATCTAATACATATACTTTATCTTTCAATCACAGTTAGCAACTCATTCAAATTCTGCTTCTTGTTGCATCAATTACAATGCAAATGTAAAATGTCAATTTTCTCACTGGTTTAATTCCCAAGCTCAGTTAAATTGATAGCAAGAATGTAAGGCACCAATGAAGGCTGTTCCACCCCTGAGCCAACCCAGTTATTAATTATCTAGATGAGATGACAGCCCAATTAAATTCTTCCAGACAGAAACATGTCTCACTTCATTAGGGACAGGCACAATATTTTCCATTGGTCTCAGTTTCCTGAGGGGGAAGTGCTCAGACTGTGTGTGTGTGTGTGTGTGTGTGTGTGTGTGTTCATTTGCATCATGTTTTCTGCTAGAGGAAGTAGTCACAACATGCACTGTGTAGAAACAGCGACTTTATATACGGAATTATGTAGAGAAAGATAGTAGACCTATCTGACCTACTGTCTCCACCATCCATCTAACCTAATAATAATCTTAGACAACTGAAACCCATTCTACCAATGACTAAAATGAATATTATTATTATTATTATTATCATTACACTGAAGGGGTAAGAACAGAACAGTCCAGTTTTGAAAAAATAGCTAAAACTCAGTGTAGAGTAGCAGTACACCATTTCCCATAAGCCCACAAGGCTGTGGGAAGTAGGGGTGTGGAGGGTGCTGCAGCACCCCCTGTGGGAGAGGACCATGTCCACCACAACTATAAATCCATCCATCCATCCTCTACACCGCTTATTCCTGAATAGGGTTGTGGGGGCCTAGAGCCAGTCCCAGCTGACATTAGGCGAGAGACAAACAACCACACACACACACTCCTATGGGGAATTTAGAGGCACCAGTCTTTGGACTGTGGGAGGAAGCTGGCGCACCTGGAGAGAACCCATGTAGGCAAACTCCACACAGAAAGGCCTCGGGTTGGCCTGGGTTCAAACCTGGAACCTTCTTGTTGTAAGGCCACAGCGCTCACCAATGCGCCACGCTACTGTGGCACCCCTACAACTATACATTTAAAAAATAGTACATAAATGATGTTTAATTTAATTTTTATTGGTTATGTTCCTATTCTAAAAATAATTTTATCCTAGTATGTTGTTAATAGGGGAACTTGGGTCCCCAATTTTCAGTCCGTTTGGTCAAACCACACCTGTTTGCAACAAGTCTGTGACCTTACATGCTTGTTGCAAACAGTTACAGAAGGAAGTTACAGAAGTGGTGCAGTGGGTAGAGCAGTCGTCTCCCAACCAGAAAGTTGAAGGTTCGAATCTCAGTGCCTGCAGTCAAAGTGGCCTTGGGCAAGACACTGAAAACACAAGAAAGGCTACAGTGAGTCTGTCAGTCAGTAAACCAAGTGGAACCACAGTTGTACTGCAGCAGTGGAAAGGAGCTCCTTCTTTTGTCATTAACAGAAAACAGTGACAGGATGAAGAGTGCATGCTAACATTGCTGGTCATCCCTCCTCCAACCATCAAGCATCTGTGGCATGCCACATTATCAGTCAGTGTATGTGGTACTCTCCTGTGTCGCTCTGCCTGTGCTGCTCCTAACCCCCTGGGGGGAGAGCAGCCCATTTTTGGAATGGGACACAGAGAAATGACAGAGATAATGAGGGGCTCACTCTGTTTGGAGTGTGCCTGGTGTTTTACAGTATATCCTGTGTGGATGTGTGTGTTCTGTGGTGCTGGATGAGCTTTACTAGTTCATCTGTTCCAATGTGACAGAACCAAACAACAAACAAAAGAGAGAAAAACACTTGTAAACTATGAGTGTGAGTACCAGTGGTCAGCAGTGTTTCAGCTTTTTGGCCCATTTCACAATTTCATGAGACTTGCACTAATACCTTGGGTTGGTTACCAATAACTGAATAACACTTTTTTATACTTTATTTCAAGTATACAAATAAATACTTAAGCCACATTTCTCCAATATGAATGTTATAAAGTATAAAACTGATAATTTGTAAATTTATAATTGGAACTCTCTGATCAAAGAACAGCTACTCAAGACAATTCATCCAACAGCTTTCAGTACTCGTTGCTATGAAAACATTTGGGTGTGTAGCACAATGTGTTCAATACCCTGTCCCTCTTACGTTTTTGTTTCAGAATATTATTCATAATCCAGTAAAAGTGGCCTAGAAGTTTTTTTAACCTTGACTTGGCCCTAAGTTTGCTCTAAGATACTTAAAATTAACTTTACTCTTACGTTTCTAAATAAAGCCGTGTATCCATGCCCCACTCACACCAAAGCTCATACAGTACTATAGCAACAGGTCTGCCTGTTGCTATGTGGGGAAGGTGTGCTCATGTTTATGCTTTTCTGTTGGTTCACTTTGAGTACTCTGCCTTATTTTCACATATGTTTGACATTTCTTCTCCTGATTTCACTTGTATCAACTGAGGTGACTGGGAATGATACAGTGACTCAAGCAGTTGTAATAACAATATGGTCAAATCCCTGAGGTTCATAGTAAAGAACAGGATGAAACAGAGAGGAGGTTGGCTGTAACCTGGATGTCACAATAAGAAATGAGAAAATAGTATATTTATAATGCAAGGCACCAAGTGTCTCCTTTTCTCAGCCTCTCATTTCCGTTTCAACAAGTGCAACCTCCCACTAGTTTTTCTTGGAATTGCACAGAGCAAAATCTATTTTAAATCAAGGTAACGGCACACAAAGCAGAGTTACACTACAAACAAGTGGAATTATCTAGTAGAAGAAATAACTGTAGAAGTTAACTAGTACAGTACATTTTTACTCCGATGTAGTGGAGAAACATGCTGTGCTGTGGCTCTCTCCGTCACAACCATGGGTATGTCTGAACGAAGCCATGAGGAACATTAATGTAAAAGTGCCGAAAGCCTGAATGACAGAAAGCCGTCACTTTAACGACTGATCAAGCAGCAATGTTAGGTACCCCCTGTCTGAAAAGGGCTGCAGATTGATGCACCACATCCTGAAAAAACACAGTCCCGAGGGTTAAACACTGAACTACTCTGTCTGGATTACATGCTCTGATGACTGCAACAGTGCAATCTGCATTTACAACAGATTTCATGCATATACATTTAACCTTCACGCTCTGATAGGTAAGCCTGTCTGCAACACATACAACAAAAAGGTCCTCTAAGCTCTCATTTCCACAGGCGAGCTGAGCAGGGCCATACCAGACTGAGGGGAAAATGGGCTGGACACTGACAACTACATCTCACCTCAGATACAGAGGCAGGCTGGAACATCCCTGGAGGAGACCGTTACTCTGACTGCCTGAGGCTTTAACTCCTCACTATGGGGCTGCAGAAACCTGCTGCTTCCATTGTGAAAGACAGCTTCAGATTTTCAGTCATCCAAATGAGCCTTCAGTCAAGTCATACAGTGTTATTACAACAGGGGTGTAGACGTTCTGACATTTCAGCGCTCTCAGAGGACAGAGATAATTCCACTTGTTTCATACGACATCTGCTGAGAATCTACAGTCACATGCACATGAAGGTTGTGTGCTGTGCATTTGTTGTCTGTTTAGACCATTAAACTCCTTTTTACGGTCTTCCTTTACTTCCAGGCAGCCACTGCTTTCCATTCTCGGTGGTACAAAGGGATTGTCAAGAAAGTAGCATGGCGCCAGGTGTTTTCATATTTTGCAAAAATATGCATGAAGATCAACAGCATTAAGTGTTTGCCAATAAAAATTGTATACACACTAAATCTGCACAATGAGATTCATATTTTATTAGAAGTGTTTTCAAACATCATGGTCTACTTTTAGAAGAAAAAAGAGTGTCACAATGTGGCTGGCTTTGTTATGTGACTCTGGTTTGTTTACCCATCTCTGTTTAAGCGCAACACAGAGCCCTTTAGCGACCGTTTCTGCAACATGCATCCATCTGAATGGGACCAGGAAGCTAACAAAAATGCATGGAGAAAACATTTCAGTGAGGATTTATAAATAAGAGGAATTGTTCGCAGTGCAAGCCGGCACACATCAAACGCATATTAACAACATGCGCTGGGGTTAGCTGAGAGGAGAAGTCTAAACTTGTTGGTAAACTAGGCAATAACCATGTCTTAGAAGAAAAAAAACATTCCTATAAAAACACTGTTTCAACAGAAACACAAGTGTGCTGTCTATCTTTAAATGCTCAGATAAAAAGAAAAGAACGAATAGTTGCACTGACAGTTATTTATAATTCTTCACTGAAATGTTTTGTCCATGCATTTTTGTTAGCTTCCTGGTCCCATTTCAGACAAAATCCTTAGTCAGGCACAGCCCTACCTTTGTCAGCAACAGACAGTGTGCTGTTGAAGTACTGCTCCTCCAGAGTCCATGAGGCATCATTTATTTTGTTGGAGATCCCACACGAGCCCTGACAGTTCACCTTGATAGCTGTAGAAAGAGGAGAGAAGAAGAGTTAATGGCTTGCTTTGTTTGAGCTACGGTCCAAAATCCAGAAATATGCAACCAACAATTAAATAAAACAACGAGTAGAGTCCCTTCAACAGAGACCACCTGGAGACTGTTTACAGAATTTGCCATATAAACTATCATACTGATTACTTTTGCCTTTCAGTGTATGGTTGCACAAACTGATGATCAACTGTTTCTAATACATTTCTAATTATGGTGTGTGACATGTAAAATGGCCTCTCCTGTAACATTAAAGCATTTTCTTCAAGGAAAAGCAATGCATTAAAAATACTGCCAAATGTTCATTCATTTTATTTGAAAAGAGAAACAGATAATGCATTCACAAGAATGGGGAGGACATGAAGTCACTGTGACCTCAGCTTTGGCCATCAAATTTAATCACTTGAGTGCAAGTGAATACTTGTGCCAATTTTTGCTATTTTAAATGCCTGCTATACTCTCTACATCAGAGCCTGTCTGGGCGCAAATACTCTCTACATCAGAGCCTGTCTGGGTGCAAGGTATGGGGTATTGGAATAGGGCAAATGGAGGCTCACTAATGAGCTACTGTAGATACATTTTTTTGAATTTCATTCATCCTTGTCAAAAGACTCCATTTTGTTTAAATCTTTCTTAAAATGGGTGAAAAACTGTACATTGGTCTCTATAGGGGAGGCCATTGAATTTGTCTAAAAAAAATCTCTCCAACTTGTCCTCACGACCACAGCTTTCACTCCTTTTACATACTTTTTTCACTGAATGATTGATACAGTTGTGCTCTTCCTGACAGTAGAACTATGGAAGCAAATGGACTCACAGAAGATGCACAGTGAGCTGCAGAGTGACACGAGCACCAACCAACTGCCACACTGACTCTTGTGTACACGGTATTAGGCAGGTGGCCATAATGTTATGGCTGATCAGTGTATGGTTTTACCATGTCCACCATCTTACTTTAGGGTTTTACCATGCTAACACTGGCTAATTGCTGAACACAAACACAAAGTACAGCTTAGGTGGATGGTAATATTAGTTTTTACGGGAGCTTGATCATAAACCAAAGCACTGATAAATGAAAAGTTGACCTGTTGGTGGCTAGATTAAAAGTTAGAACTCATCCTGAGGGGGACCTGAATATGTGTACCAAATTTCATGACAACCCATCCAGTTGCTGGAGATACTTCACTCAAAATCAAAAAAGTAACCCTCATGGTACCACAAGAGAAAAAGTCAGAAGATCACTAATGTTGTTAGGATTTATCATCTGGGCACCACGTGTACATGCACAAAATTCCATGGTAATCAATCGTATAGTTGGCAAGATATTTCATTAAAAACCACTCACCAACACTGCATCCCCCAGAGCCAAGCTGCTACTGTAGCATGGCAAAAAAAAAAATCTACCTACTTGTAGCCCTAATATTCACATAATAAAAATATGCTGTCACTGTATTTTAACATATAAAACAGTTTTGCCCTTTAATTTGTAACAGTTCCACCAGTGGTTTAACACAAACAGAATTATTAGGATTAATTACCCCATTAAAAGCCTAACTAAATATCACCAGGAAAAACAAATTCAGCTTTTATTTTTAAAAGCCTTAAAGTCAGACTAATGTAAACATTAACCAGTCACAGCTCACACCCACGCAGGATCCTGTGCTGGCATCAGACTACACACATACACTCACACAGTGGCAGATGGCTGCATTCTCCACCCTGACAGGACTGCTGGCAGAGTTTCAGGGAAGAGGGAGGGACCTCTGCTGCCAGGAAAAACAAAAACTTTAATTTGCAGCTCACTAAATGGAGTGGTGTCCTTCAGCCACACATACCAATCTTAAATTATTTGGCCATTAATTAAACCCAAACTACTCCTCCAGCCATCTGCCTCATTCATGTGGGAGAACAATACTCTATATACTCTAACAATACTCTTTCTGGAAACAGAAGCAACAACAGAACTGAAAAGTACACAAATATGTCAGAGAAGGCAAGCATTACTGCAGGGAGTTATTGTTTATAGCTGTCTGTTGTGGAAAAGTGAAGAGCTCCACCTATGAAAGGTCAGCGCAGGGGTAAGCTGTTAATATGCCGAGCAGCAGCAGCAAAGCTGAATAGTAAATAGTTGGTGTCGTAAAAGATGAGCTGCTTTGGCAGAGAGGCTGGCTGTTTGTGGCTGCACAAAGGGCCGGTCTCTCCAGAAATATGAAGCCAGTTGGACCAGGAGTGGTGATGATGTGCTTGATGAGATGTTCAGCCAGATTTAAGAAGCACTGCCATGTTTCAGCACAGACACCCCCCAAGTCTAAATCCTAAAACCTAATCTTGGATTTTTTGAACTGAGCAGTGGTGGAAGTACTCAGATACCACAGTGTAAAAGTACTCAGAGGTCATGTGACTAAACTAGTCCAAGATAAGCTGGTGTCCGATTAATTTGAAATCTTTTTCCCCTCCTTTGGAATCAGAATCACATTAAATTGGCCAAGTATGTTTAAACATGCATGTGCTTATATGTCAGCAAAGAAAATAGTAAAATATGTGCACTGTTACAGCCCAGTCTAGAGGTTACTCAGGAGACTCCCCGCTTCCCAGCGCCCAGAAATGACCAAGTTACAGATTTAAACACAAATACGCCATATTTTATCTTCATAAGTGAGCAGAGTGAAAGGTAGCCATCTTTTCAGGGTGGGTCCAGCCAAAAACAGAACCAACTAAATTTCTCATCATATCAGTTTGCTGCTGTATTTGAGCTGACCAGGCTTGGTTTGATATGAAACTACCTAAACACATTCATAGTGATCATTGATCTGTCAGCTATTTAGCCTGCCACTGCTTCATCTCTGTACGGACGTCACTGAAAGAATCCTCACATCCCGCTTACCAAAAGGCTTTTATCACTTAATTAATACTTCACAAATTAAATCAGCTCATATTGTAGAGCAGAGCTATCACAGGTTGCCTACAGGCTATGAGAACTATATGACTGATAAAAGTCACCACCTACCACACATTTATTCTGATAACATAATAAACCTTCATACTGCAAATACCAACTAATAAAATCATGATGGCTGCGATTATACAAACGATGCATTTCTGTAAGATGTCACACTGTTGATCCAACATCTCAAGCAATCAGTTCTCAGATCAGGTGAGAGAGAGCCAGGTGTATCCCATCATGCTGAGCTCTCGCAGACGGTAGAGACAAACTTCAAAAACTGCAACTGACTCGATCTCATGAGAATATTGTTGTCCACATGGGTGGTACATCAGAGCAATTCGGGACAGAAAACGAGCCGGCATGCAGTGTGCACCGATCAGCAGTGATCGATTCTGCACAGATCTGCCCCCCCCCCCCACCCCCCTCGCAAGGTTTCATGACTGAAATCCTACAGTGTAAACTTATTTCACAAGATTGAATTTGTTCTTCTGAAGCCGATAACTTCCAACTTGGCTTCACACCAGTAGCTATGGATCACACCTAGGAAGTGTCAGCACAGGAATCGAGGCCAGAGACCAGCTCTCCACAGAGCGCACCACAGCCTAAGGCCGCCTGACACTCAGCAGTGAGAGAGAGGACAGCAGCGGAGCACGCTCTGACGCAGCAGTTGCCCAGATTTCTTGCCAACACACTGGAGTCTGGCCAGGTCCTCTGCACAGTTCAATGGGAGCGTCTGTAGGCGGAGAGGATCCTGGTGCTACTACTCATTAGATTTGACAAAGTAGACTGCATGGGCAGACAGATCCTAGAATGTGCTGTAACTGATAGTGTTTCTAGGTCTGGCTGCCTAAACATGACTGCTGTGTTTTATGTTCTCTGATGTGGGTCAGAAAAAGGTGTTGGCGCGTCATGGAAGATGTGGCTGGGAGGCGAAGGTATGGTACTGATGAGTAAGTGGAGGATCATCATCTATTCTATGCAATCTTGCATCTGTAAAGTATATCCTGCTTTCATTTGTTGGTAGAAACAGACTCTGCAGAGAAACCACCACACCCTTTTATGTTGTAGTGTTTTTCATTTCAACCTTATCTGTGGGTTCTGTATATCAGGAAGCCTGTATTATCAATATTATACCTGGGCTAGCTTTTTGAAAGTTTTCAGTACTAGTGTTAAATACAATACCTGACTTTTTGTACAGGAAGAGTATATTTTTTTTGATACTACAAAAAATCTATTTTATACAAAACCCGTTTGTCCACTAAAGAGAAGACAAACTTCCCAAATATTGAATGTGGGGCTGCAATTACTGATTATTTTAATTGTTGATAAACCTGTCAAATATTTTTTTCAATCACAATTTCCTAAAAGCCTAAGCTGATGCCATCAAATGTCCAAAAATATTATATCTACTATAATGTAAGATGAAAAAGCAACAAATTACCACCTTTTATAAGATGGATCTAGAACATTTTGGACGGGGTGGCCAGGCTGGGACATAGATGCAAGCGTCTGTAACACATGTAAAAAATAAATTAAACGTATAGTTCTATGAATTAATCAACCATATATTATTATTAAGAATCAAATTATTTATCTTGTGTAAAAATGAGATGGACAGTTTTTCTTTAGGCAAATTTGGCTGCGCTCCTTGCCGACGACATCAATACTGAACGGTGGCCCCCATCCCTTAGCCCCCCTCATCAGTGGTCAGAGCTAGGATAAGATTACATTCACATTGAGTTACTAAGGGGAAACAGCTCAATAAGCAAGCACACTTCAACACAACACAGACAAAAATGGCTTGCAAAGCCTTTGTCTGGGCCCGGGAGGAGCAGAGTGGGCGAATGCTCCACTGTGCAGTGACCACTTATGTAGGTAGCTAACTGCGGCCCTGCTGTGCAACTGCAATGAGCAGCAGCGACTTCTCCGCCCTGTTTCGTGAGGATCATCTGACATCTTTAGTGGTGTGTCACTGGACCTTTGAGAGCGGTTAACCTACGTTAAGTAAACAACCTTAATGTTAATGTCGAGAGGC